GTCAGGAACATTTCCTTCTTGTTGCTCTACACCCAGTTCATGGACTTTTTTCCGTGATCTGCATATACTCTGGAAGTGATTTCGTCTCTGACAATAGTTACATGTTTTGCCATATGCAGGACACTCCCTTGCGCCATGTCTTGTTTCACAGTTCCCGCAATTGAACTTCTTGCTTGGGGGTCTTTTTTCCTCATTATCTGAAGGTGTTTTCTTGTCAGTTGACTTGTTCTTCTCCCTTCCAATTCCATGCACTGATGAGTCGTCCAGTTCTTTCATTTGCATATCCGTAGCTTCTGCAGATCGTACCACATCTAATGCTTTCTGAAGTGTAAGGTCTGGCATCCTGAGTAATCTTTCTCTTGTTTTTGTGTTGTTTACACCAAGTACAATTCGGTCCTTGATGAGAGAGTTTTTCAATGTTCCAAATTCACATGTTTCACAAAGCTTTCTTAATATTGTTACGTACTGGTCGATGCTTTCGCCGCTTTCTTGGGCTCTTGAGAAGAATTTGTATCTCTCGTAGCTGACATTTTTCTTGGGTTCACAGTGTTCCTCAAATTTCAACAGCACCTTTTCGATTTTTTTGTCATCGCCTTCTTCGTCCCAAGTTAGAGTGTTAAAAACATCAATAGCATCGTTGCCGACAACTGTTAGAAGTGTTGCTACTCTGGTTGCACTATCCTTCGAACTTATTCCGGTCGCAATTTCGTAATTTGTATATTTCTGTTTGAACTTCTCCCAATTGGCTGATATGTTTCCTCCGCTCAAATCGAGAGCTTCTGGAGGTGGAAGACCTAAATGCATCGCCATTTCAGGTGTATTTTCTTCGTCTTCAACTGGTTGCTGTATTTCCTCTCTGTTTTCTTCGTTTTCAACTTGTAGATGCTGTACTTCTTCAGTGTTTTCTTCCCCCGCGGGCGTGATAGGAATCGACTGATCCTGTGACATGAATTACGATCGCCGATGTTGATTGCTCTGAAATACGGCCTGTATTTTATTCAAATCTTCGCCATATCGATGGCTGAGGTTCTTGTTCGTACTTGACTTCTGACACCATGTAATGTTCTTTATCTAATAGCACGATGGATCTGGATAAAACAGCTTAGTAAACAGGATCCAAGTTTTTTATTCCAACATGGCTGACCCAGGTGGTCCATGCGCACGCTTACACTCATACAAAATACCGCTGATCATTACACATGCGATGAACGACACAACAAACCTTCTTGGATGTAAACTTGGCGAGTCAACAGAAAACAACAAAGCTCTTCTTTTCTTCTCAGGTAAGGAAACAATTCAAACTTCTAGCGGTTCCATTTAAGTCATTACGTGTTGTTTGCGAAGTGATAAGCTTGTGAATTGCCATGTTTGAAAATTCTACAAAGATCTATTTTTAAACTGTCGCGTGTCTAGCTGACCTGATCAATCAAATCGTACTTTTGAATGGTTTCCTCTCTGATTTTGATGAGATTACTTCGTGTGTATATACTAAAACAATTATTCTTCTTAAATAGCGGTACCGAAAGGTAATGCTAGCGGAACATTTTAATTTGAACAACGATTCAGGTTTGTCTTCGACTTGACTTATCTCGGGCTGAAAGGAGATTACTCATCAAGCACGTGACTTGGGCAAACTGCTTTTATCTCTGTTCATTTAGAACGGTCCAATTTACTTATTATAGATCTTTAAACTGTAGTTTTAGGGTAGGCCACAGACTAATGGAAGTCTCTGATAGTTACGCCTTCTTGTTTTTGTAAAAAAGCGGTTTCCATGCAATGGTCATCATGTAATACATGTGTTTCTACTGATGGAAAGAGCCTTGGGTTTATAAGTCACCTGGTCACCTGGTTGGATGCCTAGGCTCCCGGAGGGGGTACTTTGTATAATAACCTATACGGGGAGGCTCCGCCCGAAAGGGGTATCTTTTTCAAGCTTCAGGTATATGAAAGGGTAGGGATTTTACTCACTGAAGAATATGGGTAGGGAAATCTGTCATTTGGGTCTGTTAAAGGGCCCAAAAGGACTGACAGATGAATTTTATGGCTTTATAAAGTCGAGAAAACGTTAAATTTTTGTGATTAATTCCCAATCAAATGACAGTGCATTTACAGCAGTGAAAAGGAATGCAAAAATCCTCACAAGGTATGTGAAAGGGGTACCATTTGTCAATAGAAGGTATACAAAAGGGGTTCCTTTATCGTGAAAAATGCTATATTAAGGGTAAGGGGGTAGACCCAAGGACCCGTATAAAAATTTGTGGAGAATCCCAACCCCCCCCCCCTCCCCCCTCCTCCGGGCCTAGGCTAAGCTTCTTTCTTTATTTTAGGTATATTATACTGGGCAAAGGTGGCTATTTTATACCACAAACTTTATTGAATCGGCATCCTTCTTAGGTTTCCTCCGACCCAGATTTACTGAATCCGCGGAGCTCCTATGGGGTCCGCGAGAGGTCGGCATTTGTTAAATGTTGGTTATCTTTTATCATAAGTGCAACGTTTTTTTGGATATTCCAACCCTTTTTTAGTTCACCTCCAGCTGAAACATCGAGGAAACATTTTTTTCGGTTAGGATGGAAGAAAAGATTGCTCTCCAAGAGCGATGTTGTGCTCAGGCTAAGATAAAAGTGTACGTATTTTCTAGCAAACCATCAAAAACATGGAAAAAAGATTAAGTCGTGAAATTTATGGGGCACCGTATATAAAAACGTACAGAGCAATAAAAGCCTTGGTAAATAAAAGAAAACTGTACTCTTTACGGAAGTTCTTGCTGAGACTAACTTGCTGTATGGGTATCTCCTACCGAGTATACCCAAACCGTATCCCCTACCGGGGCATACAGCACTGGTTATTTAGGGTGTGTTCCTTTCGGCGAATCCAAAAACGGATTTTTGATCCTAGATTTGCCAGATTTCTCGGTCGAAAGGAACGTGAAATCCGAAATTGGATTTGTAACCTTGGTAACCTTTCGCCAACGCGTGCAATATATGCACGACAGCCTCTCAAAAAATGACGTGTTTTCTACTGTTTGACAAATTATGCGATTATACCGTGTAGAATTTAGTGGTCGGCAGTTCGAATAGCCACGATGGAACATATAAAACAGACAAAGAAAGAAGCGCATTAAAATCGAAAATTATCTAAAAACGTCGGCCAGTTTGATCCAGTTCCATAGCTCAGATTTTTTTTATGTAGCACGATCGAATGCCTGTCGCGTCTACAAGCGAGTTTGTAGTTAGATAGCAGTTTATTTGTTACTTTTACTTATTTCTGATTTCATGCAATCTTTGGAGACAAATGGTTAGTATATGGATATTTTAATGTACCAGGAACAATCTGCTAATGTTTTCAAATGTTTTGCGGCAAATGACAGCAACGAAGAAACTCTACGGCTTGTATGGGAATACTTCAACTGGAAATACCGCTGGATCATCTGGCTAATTTCGGATCCACTGTGAATGGAACAGCGTAGATCACTAATCCGTTAATCTGGATTTGGATTCTTCGGATTTCAAATCCAGTGAATCCTTTTTGAAAAAGGATTCACCAGATCAAAAATCCGGATTTGGATTTGCCGAAAGGAACGCGAAATCCGTTTTTAGATCTAAAATCCGCTTTTGGATTCACCGAAAGGAACACACCCTTAGGTACCAAATTTATTGTGACGTCCCCCCCTCCCATTTTCTAAGTTAAGGAACTCTGATAACTGGGTACGTCTTTATTTATAAACCCACTCGAACAGACATGTCTGCAAATAGCTGCATTGGATACTGAAATCAATATTGAGATACTGTAAGGAAAATTCTCTGTTAAGAAGCAGACATGAGAGTTCGACCTTATTTGTGAAGTAAGATTTGTACATACTGTATGATTGAATGTCTTTTATTGAAAGTTTTATTCACAAATTGAAGCAAACTGCACTGACATGCCAGAAATATAACAAAGATGCTATTTAAGTAAAGGGAAGGTTTGTTGAAAAGAATCTCAATGTTACGAGTAAAAACATCTTCTCCTTTTTCCGCTGTTGCAGGCATTCAAAAGGGAAGGGAAAAGATGTTTTAGGTGCGTGACAAGCACTTAAGGGCGGGCGAGAAAGGAGGAAGGGGAACGCTTTCCTCTCCTCCCTTGTCCCTCGCGCGCGGTCTCGCACCTAAATCCCCTTCCCTTCCCTTTTGAAAGCCTAAAGATAATCAAGTTATCCTATAATCACATTCATCTTCCTAGCTAACTGATATAAATTTTACAAGGTGCCATTTTAACCCTCGAATTCTAATCCGTTTTTAACAATGGTCTTCCCTCGAAGCGGTTTGGCTCCAAAAGGAATCCTGCGATGTGATTCAATTAAAGCACGATTTGATTAACCCATTTTCATTTCCTTTGATAAAAGGTTCTCCAGTCTAAAATGTTTTCAATGCAAAGTTTACCTCTCCACCGTATTTTTTTCGTTGAGATGAAAGATTATATCACGACCTTTACTTTGACTACATTCTATAGACTTAGGAAACGACCGACAAGAGAGAATTGGTTCCCCTGAAGCTGTAGTTCGATGTAGTGATATATATCTGCATCCATAACATATCACCTACAAAAAGCGTTGCCAATCAATCACTCTCAATCACAGCCATTTTGTCTCGTCACGCAACGAAAAGGAGCCGTGCGTGACAAGACAAAACGGCTGCATGGGCTGGGAGAGCAATTTCCTACGGGCTCAGCCGGTTATTGTGTTGTCACCGAAAGCGCCTGCCCACAAAGGAGTTAAAGAAGTGCTGCGTGACAAAACAAAGAGCTGCTGCACCGGACTAACATGCCGACATAACAATGCAAAATTATGATACTGTCCTAAGAGTTTACTACTGATAATCTAATACGACAAAAGTAGCCACAAAGGGCTAAAAAGAAAATAACCAAAAACAATACTTTCGTACCTTGCGCTTTACAGTCTATATTTGAAGAATGCTATTCTAAGCAAATTGAAACAGCACCAAAGTTAAAGGCTCCCCTTATTAGGACTGGGGCCTAGATACTTCTTCAATCATTATCCGGGACACTGATAGCCACCCTGTGCGAGCATCACCCAGCTTAAAGCTACTGCACTGTCCTATCCATAATTCCACTCTAACGGCGCCTTGTGGGATGTTTTCACAGTAACCCTCAAATGACCGATGATGCAGCAAAACACTGTTCCCTGATGACCAGCTGTTGTAAATAACAGCCTCAATCGTCATTGGTCCACTGCATTCATTTCCATTGAACTTAAAATACCACCGGTTACACTTATTATCACCATAGACATACATGATTCCTTGGAATGAGACTCTGAGCGCTGAATTAGACTGCTGTTTGTTAAACGCACAGTCCTGGAATAAAATCAAACAAATCAAACATATTGTAGTAAGGCGAGCAACCGTGTGTAATGATTGATACTAACAACTCTAGTCATGTTTACTTCCTCATTTTTTAAAAAACTCTGTAATAGCTTCAATTTTCGTTGTCCTTATCCATATGGCCAGGAATCATTTTATCACGCATGATGGTTTTCTTTTTTTCGTTCAAAAAAGAACCAAAGTATAGAGAAATGTAACTTAGTTATTTATGTAATGAGTTGGCAAACGGTGAGTGAGAGGGGAGACGTTCTTCTTTGAAACATTTTAATTTAAAAAGGAATGAATTTTCTTAGGAGTGTGTTATGATTCTTATTCTATTTACCTTAATCTTTCCGTTATCAGTACTGATGCTTGATTTCCACACACATTGTTTCCAGTTGGTTTGTGGTACTACACTTCTTTCTCCTTTGTCTCCTTTGTCTCCTTTTCTTCCTTTCATTCCCACAATGCCTCGCTCTCCTTTCATTCCTACAGCTCCGCGAACTCCTTTCATGCCCACAATGCCTCGCTCTCCTTTCATTCCCACAGCTCCGCGCACTCCTTTCATTCCCACAATGCCTTGCTCTCCTTTCATCCCCACAATGCCTCGCTCTCCTTTCATTCCCACAGCTCCGCGCACCCCTTTCATTCCCACAATGCCTCGCTCTCCTTTTATTCCCACAGCTCCTTGCTCTCCTTTCATTCCCACAATGCCTCGCTCTCCTTTTATTCCCACAGCTCCTTGCTCTCCTTTCATTCCCGCAATGCCTCGCTCTCCTTTCATTCCCAGAAGTCCCTGCTGACCTTTCATTCCCTTAATTTCCCGGGGTCCACTCTTCCCAGGGGGTCCTACACGCCCTCTGTCTCCTCTTGGACCCGGCATTCCTTGTGATCCTTTATCACCAATTTGTCCTTTTACACCTTCTCTTCCCGGGGGTCCGTGTGGCCCCGGGACGCCCGGCACTCCCGGTATACCATTTGATCCTGGAATTCCAGGGAAACCCATCAGAGATCGCTGAAAGTAAAGATGACTGGTAATTATCAGAGACGAAGACGACACGGGATCCTAAATAACTCGGGGGGTGGGGTGGATGTACTCCTGAGAATTCTTGGAGGGGATGTGCCGCCCGCTTCCCCAAATCCTGACTCTTTTTCAGACCAAAACATGTCATTTTTTACACCCGTTTTCAGACTTGGCCTCTAAAATCCATACCAGTTTTAGGACCTTGTCTCTAAGGAATTATGCATGTCATCTTTGCTTCGATTAATTCTCCCAGTTTTGGAAATGAAAGGATAATTCCGTTCATACACGCCCTAGCTTCCTCGCAAACAATGATTCCACACCAAAATGAACAAAGTCTGTACCCGTCGGCCGTCTCCCTTGTTTTCGAGGCACGGATGGACCTTGGACATCATAATCCTATTTAAAGCGTTATCTCGCCTCGAATGGACTTGGATGGAATCAGAGAAAATTAACAGCTAACAATGGACAGGCTTTCGAGGAAAGATCATGCTGAATTAAGCGAGGACTTTTAAATAAACTGCCATACACTTTTAACGGGTACTTTTTAGTAAATGATCATAAAGACGTGAGAGTAATAAAACGGTTTCTGGGTGTACCTAATCTACGGCGCAGTACTCCTTTTTATATCTTTATGCATTTCTTACCTGGCATAAGTCTTTTAACTTTGTGGCGTTTTGTTGCTGAGGTGAGGTGGTTGTTCCCAGAGAGCCGCCAAAAAAAGACAGAATCAGGAAAACAGCGAAATACTGAACCATGGCGGTGAGAATGGAACGAGAACACAGCGTTTTCTGAAATCAGTGCTACGTGCTCATTGATTTTATAGCAAATACTTTAAGTAAATCCTCTGTTCCGGTATGTCGTTTGTTTGTTTTTTCTTTGTTTCTTTTTCCTTTTATGGCAATTTTTTTGCATCTTCTTATTCTCTGTTTATGCTCGCTTCAGGGCGCTGAAACAGGGTCAAAAGACGAACATTCCAAAAATAAATGGCAGAACATAAATTCTTTAAAGCAATAAAGTTTTATGCATGCTATCACGACTTTGTGTTTCTAACGGTACCCGATGCCTTTCCTCTTTAGAGCGCCAAAAATAATACTTTGCCTTCAGTCCAAGTTGGCTACGTTATGTCAGAAAAGTAGCGGCTCCTATAAGCTCCAGCTAAACAAACTTTAACGTGTCTGGTGTTAGACAGTGTGTTTATTTTTAAACCCCCATATCTTATACTTTGAAGGCGGGGTGATGTAGGGAGGGGGGCTCCCCATATTAACCTATACGGGGAGGTGCTTCCCAAAAGGGTACTCTTACAATTCAGGATAGACCGTTTCTTTCTTTCTGTCTACTTTTGATATGGAGAAGTTAAGAAAAATTTATCGGCAGTTGGCACCACTGGAAAGAACGCCTTAAATTGAGTAACATTGCCAAGTTTTGAAAGTGATTTGTTGAAAACTGACGAAGATATAGGTCCTCAAAGTCGCGAAATTTTACAGACGTTTGTATGATGGGGGCCGGCACAAACTTACTTTCCCTACCCCCCTCCCTCCCCCACGACGTACAAACGTCTGTAGATTTTCACAACTTTGCTGAGCTATATCTCTGCACGCTTAAGACGTATCGCTTTCAAATGTGGCAATTTTACAGCCACTGAAACTACACTTAAATTGAAGTTAAACGCTACATGAAAACGACAAGAAGACTTTCTGTTAGTGCTAGATATGTGTGAGAGGTACAAAAATATCTCCTTCCTCTACTGCTGTGACGTTAGGGACCAGTCATAATTTAAGTTGGAGGGGGGTGGAGGAGAAAATGGGGAGCCTTCAATTTTTTTTTGGATGGAATATGGGGGCCTTAAAATGCCAAAAGATGACCTTGGGGGGTCGTCAAATTTCTTTTAAGTAGCATCCCTACTGAGCAGCATGATGTTTGAGTATTAAAGGATCTGATTTTGATTCAGTTTTACACAAAGTCCTATATTGTGTAATACTAAAACAATTTAATCAGCATTTATACAAAAAGATTTAATGCTCTAATGATTTAATGCGTGCATCAACACAACATCCATTATTGTGTAACAATGAAACAATTTCATCGGCATTTTCACAAATGATTACATGCATAAAGTCATGTTATGCAATCTCACTATCCGAATCATTATTTGTATATGAGGTTGATGTGGACTCACTGTCTGTGTCACCGTCAAGATTTTTGCTATCAGAGCATGTACTGCTCATATAAAAAGCAGTAAGCTTTGGCTGATTATCTTCTTTCTTCCTTGAAGCGGTCCTGTCGGCCTCTCACCTTTCGATGGCTTGTCTTATCCCAATTATAACACAATCACTGATATATCCTTGCTCTATAAGCTGTTTGAGAGGCTCTAGGTGAAACCTCTTTCTCAGTTTAGTGTGAAGTGCTTCTCTGTTGTTAGTTGGTACATTCGGAAGTGACAGTGAGTAAGAACGGTAAAGTAAAGAAAATGTTATTTGTTATTACCATTTGGGTATTATGTATAAGAAAGGGGGGCCCTTAAATCTTTTAACATGATTGAAGGGGGGGGTACCTAAAAAACATGGGTGCTATTAGTGGGGGTCTGGAAAAAAATTTGGAATAAAAAACAATTTCTCCTCCACTCCCCCCTCCAACTTAAATTATGACTGGTCCCTTATTGAGATGATTGTTCGCACACGAACACAAAAAAAAATAAAATAGAACAAGGACAAGAAGTAAACAGTTTTTTAACGGCTATGAACCCACAGACATCGAGTTATTTCCGCTCCTCGTCTTCAGTATTAAACTATTACCATAAACTGTCGCCTATATACATCTTCTTAAGGGGTTTTAGGAAGGCCCGGATAAACAGAGGGGCTTTAACATCCGAGGGGGCCTATAGATGACATAGAAAAAGCGCTTGAAGCTGTAGCAGTGCTGATCAAAACAGATGTTTTTACATTTACTGGTCGTTAATTAAAGCTATAAATCGAATTCAATTCAGTTCAAGCGAGAAGGGAGCTTATTATACCCGATGGGGCTTATATTCGGACCTACTTTTTTCGTTTAAAGCCATGATATGGGCCCATGCATAACTGAAGAGGAGGCTTATGCGGCGTTTACGGTGTTTGCCGGCTTTGGTTCAGGCCAATAGACGGAATACGAAAGGGTACCCCGGCTTTTCTGTCAAAAATGGTATCTAAATGGTTAAGGGGTTAGTCCTCGAGGGCGGCCTCCCCATTTTCGTTCTTATTTTAGCTGCAGCGGACGTTACATAATGTAGAACGTGACCCTATTTTTTGAAACGTATACTTGCCGCAAAACAGTAGCGAGATATTTATGTCAGAGGTGCTGTAGCTTCCTCGCGCGTGTGCGATAACAAAATTGTGAGTCAAGTGGCACGTAACATAATTGAGCTTAAGCAGCAATGTAGTTTTCCTCGTTGAAGAAAACTTGTTCTTGTATAGGTGTAACTGCAGGGCTGGTTTTCACGTTATGATTTTTTGAAAGCAAAACGAAATTAAAAGATGAACACTGGCCAAAAACCCGCGGATTAACCAATCTATCAATCTATCAATCAATCAATCAGTCAATCAATACCTTTATTTGAGTGTCAAACTAACATAGCGGTAGGGGAATACTAAATGGGGACACTTTGAACCAAAGTAAGCAACTATTGTAGCAATTCAAATCAAATTAATAAAACTATTTACAAGTGTACCATTATTGACTAGAGACCGAGTGTAAAATTTATAAGATTATTACATGTGTATATTATATTATTACTAAATTTAAAAAGAAAAAAAAAAACTATCCACAAGTGCGTATGAGCTTCGTAATAAAAATAGTAGTGTGTTTATTACGCACTACATAGAGTGCAATTTGAGCACTGAGCGTCAGCAAGCAAGGAATTTAGGTCAAGCTGTCGAATATGCTGCTTAAACACAAATAGTTTAGGAAGGTCCCTGATCCTTTTAGGCAGTAGATTCCTTACCTTAGGGCCAATATACGTAATAGAAGCCTTCAGCCATTTGTAATCGTATTTAATCAAGTTATAGTTCCACAATAGATATTTGGTGTCTGTCCTCTGGAAAATGTCAACCATGTAGATCTGACTGAACTTGCTAAAACGTGGCTAAAGGAATTTCAAGTGCATTTTAACAATTCGGTTTGATTATCTAAGTCGTATGGACAACAGTGAAAAGTCACTAGCTAAGGCTCAACAATCACAACTTTATTGCTGGCAATGACAGACGGTAAATTTCTCTCCCAGAAGTAACACGCAGGATTTTGCGATGAAGTAAACAACATTGGAAACGTCGGGAAAGTATTTACTTTTTAGTCAGTTAAACCATGAGACCCATAGCGAAGTCACTGCCGAAAACACTAGTTTTAAAACCCACAATATTTGAGCACAGAATAGGCTTTCTAAGACAAAATCACCTACACGTCAAAACACTCACGAAGCATTTTTATGCTTGGCGCAAAGTTTTCTGGTAACACTAGCTCAACCTCATACCTGAGTTTTGTCTGTCAACACCTTCAGTAAATCACGGCTGTTGCGGCAACACAACACTTCTGAGAGGCACTCATGATATTTCCACGTTTAACACGGGCGAGACATTTGTCAAATTACTCCGTAAGGCTCTCGTTTTCTCTACATAAATCGTCGCATGGAAACTTCGATTCATACAGTCGATTAATTCAAGATCCCGGATGTAAACCAGCGGTTGAAAAGGAGACATAGAGCCCCCGACTTCAAAACAATCTTTAACAAAGAATTTGGCCTGGTCAGAAATCAGCATCAATTTCTATCTCGCCGAGTAAATTTCATCCCTAGAACCTACATTGTGAGGCCAAAGACTTGTTACTGCCAAAAACAAAGCTCGCAAGATCCAATCTTTCCGTCTCATGCCCGGGATCAGTCTTTCACCCGTGTAGCCCGAAATTAGACGAAATACGAGAAGATATTGGACGCGGCAGACTTTGCCAGTCGTGATAAT